AAGCCCTGTCGTCGCTGGCTATCCTCTATGTCTCTCTCTACCAGTGCAGCTCTGTCCACCAAGTCCCCATACTCCCTAATCTTGAGAGCCACCAACTTCTCCCGGATGACCGGCCTCAGTCCCTGCTCAAATCGCTTAGCCCTGTCGGCCTCCGTAGATATAAATCCTGTAGCATAACGGGAGAGCTCGTCAAACCTCCTTTCGTACTCGGCCACCGTCGTGCTACCCTGTCGTAGAGCAAGAAAGTCAGCCTTCATTCGATCTCTGACTGATTCAGGAAAGTACTTGTCCTGAAATATTTGGTCGAACTCCTCCCAAGTGAGTGCATCAGTGTTCCTCCGTCTCTTGACCGAATCCCACCAATGGTCGGCCTCCCCCTCTAACAAATAGGTCGCCAAGCCAACCCTCAAATCTTCGGCAACTCCCATGCCGTCACATACCTTCTTCACTCTGCGTATCCACTTGTCCGCATCCAAAGGGTTAGAGCTCCCTTGGAAGGTGGGTGGATGTTGTCTCAGAAATTCTCGAAGAACCACCATCCTTCGATCTCCATTTCCAATTCCGGGTACTTCCGCTAGTGGTTGAGCTCCACCATTATGGTTGTTGTTCCCATTCTGGTTTTGTACCAAAGTGGTGAGCTCCTTCAAGCATTGATAGATGCCATTCATGGCATCGGGAGGTGGTGGTGGTGGTGGATTTGCTTGACCTCCACGACCACGCCCACGTCCACGTCCTCGTCCTCGTCCTCCATCCATCCTGCACATCAATTCACAATTTAATTTCATTGAGGTACAAGACATCCTAATTATTGCTTTAATTTAAAGCCTAAGATTTATATAAAACATAGATCATCAATTTTGTTCAACCTAATCCTGCCTTTCTAGTGGTAATCCATAACCTACAGCTCCCATGTAAGACCTAAAGCCTAAGCTCTGATACCAAATTTGTAACGCCCCAAAAACCCCCTTGGGTGACATTACATTCTAAAAACCATTCACCCCATGAGAGCATTACGTAAATTCATCACAACGAAAGTTCATTCATCAACCATTCATATTTTAACAAAATTTGGGCAGAGTCTCCTTTGTACGGGGAGCTTTACCCAAAACACAACCTGTACAATTATATTACAATTGACCACACCGGGTCCACATATGCATAACTATTGACCACACCGGGTCTATTTATCCATCATAAAATAAACCTTCATTCATCATATGTCATATCCACAATGCCATCCCAAAAGAATAGGCCAAGTATGACAAATATATTCCCAAAAGAATTAAATTACACTTGCAGTGAAATAACAAAATACTAGACTTTACATGATTTCAAAATAAACTCTCTAGTCTAGTACAAAAGAAATATAACTCTAGGCATCCAGTTCAGGATCCCCGTTCCCCTCTAGGGGAGCTTCCCCATGCACTGGTTCATCTACTTGTAACTCCTCCTCATAGACGAAATCTGAAAAGATATTATCTGTAGGGGATGAGCACTAAGCTCTGTAGCAACATTCCTTCCATACTCATACAAGGTTTAGAAAACAAGTAAAACAGTTCGGTCTTATTTTCCAAAATATCATATAACATTTGAAGTAAAACCGTGACATTTGAAACAGATCTCAAGTTTAAACATTCGCAATAATTTAAATGAACAGTAAACCCAAGTCACAATGAGCAACCATAACCATTTCCAACAAGTTCTTGTAGAGTCTCATACCTCCACAAGCTCTTGTGGGAAATGCAATAGTAACACCATACTACAAAAAGGAACGCTTATTCCACCATCGATTATTATATTTCCTTTGGCAGGTGGCATACTTAAAAGTAAACTCCACCCCCTTCAAGTCTTTGTTTCCCATAACCGCATACTTACAAGTAACCACGGTCGTTAGATGTCCTTTTAGGTAGGTAGCATACTTACAAGTAACCTCCACCCCCCTCAAGTATCCAACACATAGCCGCATACTTAGAAGTAACCTTGGTCCATAAATATCCTCTTTTGGTAGGTAGCATACTTACAAGTAACCTCTACCCCCCTTGAAGTCTCCCACACATAACCGCATACTTACAAGTAACCTCGGTTCATAAATATCCTCTTTTGGTAGGTAGCATACTTACAAGTAACCTCTACCCCCTTCAAGTATTCCACACTTAACCGCATACTTACGAGTAACCTCGGTTCATAATTATCCTCTTTTCATACCAACAATCACATACAAGATAAAATCCACACATTGCCCTCAAAAAGCAACCATTATCAAAATCCCCAAATTTTATCATGCGACAATCCAAATAACCAATTAAGAAAAATACAAGAGATCACCACCACATCATTTTCATTACTCACACAAGGCACTAAAGTTCTCAAAACCAAGCTTGAGCAAATGTAGAAAGAGAATTCCATATTTCCCCAAAAACTAGGGTTTTAAAGCTATAAAAGAAGTTTCATGGGTAATCAATCCTAACTTTGTTTAAGACATGCCATAATTGCAAGAAAACCAAGAAACAAAGAATTCCTAGCAAATACATACAAGTATGAATCAAAACATATATATATTTTAGTCTTAGCCTCAATGGACAAGCATGGAAGAAATAACCCCTACCTTGAATCAAAGTTTCAAACCACAAACCCAAGCTCTAATGACCTCCTTTCTCCCTTTCCTCCTTTCCTCTATCTTCCCCAAGGGTGCTAAGGGGTTTGGGGGTGAGAGATGTGAGAAAAAATGGAAGGAAATGAGCTGGTTTCTGTGTTTTAAACACAGCAGTCCGCGACAATCACTGTTCATGGGCTGAATTTTGAGTTTTTTTCCAAAATTACAGTTTTGCCACTAGAAATCTCCAATTTGATCCATACGACTACCCTAAGGTTTTTCGACGTTCCGGATTCATTTTTAATGTTATTTTAACCTAAAAACATTGCTTTTTATGATTTATTTCAAAACTAAAATAAATTCACACTTGGAACATTAAAATTTCTATTTTATTCCTTCGAACTACTATAGGTGATATCCTTACGATTTTAATATATATATATGGTTTATTCTTAAGTCATTACATATAGAAGAATCACTAAACAAGTACATTAATATATTAATGTAAACATATGGGATTTTACACCTTCAAGGTCTAATAAGAAAGCACAACCCTTTACTATCCAAGAAGCACCATTGTGCAGATTTTTAGTCAACTTCATAGAATAAACTGATTTGACTCAGGTATTTCTAGGAGGTGTAACCTATATGGTTGGAAAGATATACGAGTTAGGGTTCTAACAAAAATAACGGTACACAATTCGGACTTTCCAATAAAGAGTTATGATGAAATTAGCGAAGGGTAGTCTGCCGGACAGATTTTTGGACAGTGTAGACACTACTTCATAATATGGACATAACTCCTTCCTCCTAGTTCCGATTGATATGATTCAAGGTGATATGGAATCCTAAGAGAGAGATCTACAAATTTCATGTTTTAAGTTTTGAGAGATATGGACTGCATCAAGGTCGAAATCGAGCTTGATGTTACAGCCAGTGCACTGTTCATCCCTTTTTCATTCTACCAAATTCAAACACACATCACTACACATATCCCCATTTTTACAACAATTATTTACTATATATCTATATACATATATAAAAGAAAATGCGGGGTGTTACAATATGAAGCGAGGCAAGGAAGTGATTATGAACCACAGTCTTCTCCTCCCCCTCTTCAATAAGATATTGATTCCAAATGTCATTTATTGATGATCTCTCTAATTTTGATAAGTTTATACAAACAAGAGACATAACAAAAACACGTGGGAGGTTTGAGTTGGATCGTTACGTAAAAGTTGGTATGATGTCAATAACTTCAGATTTTGATATATTATCTTTTTAGAAGACAAGTGGTCCCAAGTATCCTCTGCTTCACAAATGATTGCTAAAGATCTTTTTGCTATTCTTGTTTCTATCATTGCCTCGGAATCTGCTTTTAGCATAAGTGAGAGGGTGATCAGTCTACATCGTAATAAACTTCTTTCAACTATAGTAGAGACTTTAATGTGCTCTCAAAGTTGGTTATGTGCTAAAATATGAGGTAGTAAAATATTATTTGTATGTGCATCATAATATTTTTGGGGGGTAAAATATGATTAATGTATTATTTTTTTTATTAGATTCATCTACTTCAATGGCCTGAAAATCTACACATTATTGGAGGATCTTGATATTGATGATGAGATATATCGTTTTAGTTGAAAATTTATTTTTGGAAGAATCTATTTTTTTTTTCTTTTAGTAATATAGGAAAATGATATTGAAGAAGCAGATTCTACCACCACAGATGGTGTTAATAGATGATTGAGTTGATAATTTTTCTATTTCAACCAATCAATTTTATTAGTAAATACAAAATATTTTTATGCAATTATTATATTTTTTTATGTTTTATTTTCTTTATTAAATTACATGTACGAAGTTACATGACAGAAAAGTTTTTTCATTATGTTATTTGTGTTATGTTGTTTTATGTTGAATTAAATCAAATTCAAGTAGTATTTTAGATATTTGTCGTTTGTGTTATGTTGGGATATGTTATATTATATTATGTTGTGTTAGATTATTTAGAATATCGTTAAATTATTTAAAACTATTAAATTTATTTAAAATTTTAGATTATGTTGACTTGAACTTGAGAATAGACTTATACTTGGACTTAAGTGGATAAGAGAGAAATGGAAACGAGAGCAGATATTAGAAATTAACCTACAAATAGAAATAGAGATAAATATTATAACCGGAGATGAATCCAAAAACAACAAAATTTTTTTAAATAGCTACGGGATAAAGACTATTCAGCGTCTCCGTTTTGGTCCACTGACGTCCCTGGTCGTGGATAATGGTTCACACGGAATTATTCATGGCCCCTTAAGCAGTCGGACTTTGGCGCCTGTCGTGGCTTTTTGCTGTGCCTTATCTCAAACCCAACGGGGCTCATTCTCTAATATCCGCGGGAATAATAATGGTCGTGGCAGTAAATGCCCCGCCGCATAGTTTTCTACCATCAGAATTGCCATCGTTATTTATTGGTACTAGTTCTGCGAACCACAGCCAGCTCTCGGCATCTTCATCGCTACCACTAGAGGGCCTCCGGCCGTCTCAAAAGCAGCGGCGGAAAGGTTTCAGAGGAAAGGTCGTCAGCTATCACCATGACACTTCTCTTCGTTGCTATCATAAGCTAAAACCCATCATCAGCAGCACCACCACCACTTGCTCCACCGCCTCCACAGTATCGACAGTAACCGGAGAAATAAAGGAGTTGTTGGAGGTGACAGAGATAAAAGAGAGGTGCAAGAAGTGGCAGTGGAGAGGCCACAGTATCAATTACTTGATTTACCAGGGGAAAGATTATGAAAAACTCAACTACGACGATAAGCCCTCTACAAATTTGAATCCTCCTCTACTTCTTGTTCACGGTTTCGGTGCCTCCATTGCTCATTGGCGAAGGTAACTCATCCGTATTCTCTGTTGTTTTATTTCCAAATCACACAGGCACAATCATTCCCAGCACCACGAATTTGGACTCCATTATAATCATTAAGCGTGGGAACTCCATCATGTTTGTCTTTTTTTCACTAGCAGGTTTACGCTTTCATGATATCTTATAGGAATACAGTTCATTTTAAACTTTGCTCCTCTTATTCATGCTTTTCTAGTCTTTTTTGGCATGAATGATTGATCTACTGTTGATGACAAGGAGCGCTGAAGCAATTGCAGCAGCTCCGGCACCCATTGATGTCAATTCACGATTTTATGTTATAGATTCCTTGTCAATTTCTCCCCTTGTTCCTTTTCTCTTTGGCAGCTCACATGGGATACATTGCATTCTCTTCAATCTTGTATAAGGAACACTGAACACCAACCCAATCTCGATTAAAAGAAAGAAAATATTGCAACTACAACAACCTTTGAAACAAACGGAGTAATTCTTCTACTGACCTCATTTTCCTCTAGAGTAGAATTTTTCTCTCATTCAACATCTAATTTTCTGGTCAGATTCTTTTCTTTTTGCTTTATTGCTCTTCTTTGAGTGGTATTTGTGTGCACGCGGCGATTTCTGGTCAATTCTGTGAAATCAATGAGGTAGCAACACCTGGCTAGACATCTGGGATTCTTGAAACAACGAACGAGGTTAGAAAGGGGTCTGATTTGTATCCGGAGTGTCTCCTCCTATGCCTAGGTCAATCGGGGTAAGATAGAGAGACAGAGTGTAAAACTCGGGTAAATTTGAACTTTTTATGAAAAAGGACAAAATGGTAATTTGTCACTACAGTATGGGTTGTAAACCTGAAATATTCTAGAATTCGGATGACGAAACAGACCTCACGGTTGGATTCATCTCGCAAAATTTAGTTACCATTTCATCGAATTCCGAGATATTTGGATTTTTTGCGTTTTACGAGGCGGTCGAGTTTCGAGCGACCCAAAAATGGGATTTTGATAAAAAATTTCGAAAGTTAGAAAATAATTTAAAGCAAATTAAAATAAAAATATTTTGAATTTGAACCGGGACGAAATTTAAATGTTTCGGGGCGAAAATGGATCCGAAAAATAAAGGGCCGTGTGGCGCGTTGTAGGCCAAGTATTTAAAGGGTATAAATAGGGGAAAAATCTGATTTCTCCCCCATTTCTTCAGCCGATTATACGTGAGAGAGAAAGAGAGGGAAAGTGCTTGGATTCATCACCTTCTCTCTACGATCTATGGAGATTGAGTGCTCCAATCCACTCGAGCCAAGAACAAAAGTTGTTCTTCTCGTCGAGAGCTATAAAATCATACCAAAGAGGTCGAGTTTTACCGACGATCAAAGAACGGGATTTTAGAAAAGTGAGAATTTGGGCTAAAAACGGGTTCTTGGAACCTCCTATGGGTGTTTTCCACGCTTCAAGAAATAGGGTTCCCTCCTACTTAGGTGTATTCCAAACCTAGGATGTTTATATGAAATTGGTAGGTTGATAGATTTAACTATCACTTGCCTATTGTTGGTGGTTTGGTGAAATGGGTAGGGCAAACTCTATCTTGAACTTGAGTATATGGGAATTGCATAATGAAATTTCTTTGAGAAGTGTGATATGTGGGTATGCTGTGTGTTTACATTATGTCCTGATGAATTCAAAGTGTTGATAGCATGATTGTGTGATAACATGTTTGGAAGTGGTGTTGTGAAAATAGTTGATGTATATACACATGCTTGTAATATATTGGAATTAATGGATTATGAAAATTATATGTTTAGAATGAAATTATCCATAGTATATATGAGATTGTTCATATGTCATCCATAACATATTGAACATCGTATTGTTGTTGAAATGAGACGTCACAATGCATATGTACGGGGACATCGCACTATATGGGCGTGTGTGTGCATGGTTGTTTGTCAACACCACGCTTGGTGGATGACTAGTTGGCTCGAGTAAGGTTGGTCGAAGATCTGGCCGAGTCTCACGAATTACATGGTGATTAGGGTTGGGATTAGTAAGAAGGGATAGAAGATCCCTCGGGTGCAAGGCCCGATGATGGGATATGCACTCTCTTGGTTCAATTCATGAAGTGTATGGGTGTACGCGGAACCCTCGGTGAAAGTCCGTGTGAGTTGGATGATCCTTGGTGTGAGTCTATAAACATCTACCCTTACAAAGACCCTAGATTAGTGAATGTCATTTGATGTACAACATAAATGATAAATTCGCGCACATTAGCACTTCCATGTGTTGAGGAGTCGGGAAGGGCTCGGGTTGATGAGCATGAGTGAGTCTCATCTCATTCTATGACATGAAATCTTAAATTCTAACATTAGAGGCATATTCTTGCTTGGAATGTTATGAAATTGTGGATTGTTGGCATGCGAATATTTCATATGCATTTAGGTTGAGGAGTAGCCTATCTAGGAGATACTTTATTGAGCATAGCTCACCCTTCGTGAGAAAACATTTCAGGTACGGGGTTCATACCGGCGGACGGCTCCTATTTCGAACCTCTAAGATGAAGAAAAGGTCGATTTGTGGCCTTGACCGTTAATTTTGTAAAACTTTTGAGAAAAACATATATTTTGGCATGTAAATATATGAAATCGTTGTAATAGAACTTGTATATATCAAGTCTTATGTGAAAAAATTATATTTTACATGTTTAGGATGTTTGTGGGAAGGTTTGTAATGAATTGGAAATAAAAAATAGGTGAAACAGATAATTCTGGGCAAAACCTTCTGGAAGGTCGCAACAAACCTTCCAGAAGGTTTGGACAAAGATAAGGAAAAATTGTTGAACAGTGGGTGAAACCTTCCGGAAGGTCAATTCTAACCTTCCAGAAGGTCTTCACATTTTTCTAAAATGAGAGAATCCAGTGTATAACTTCTTCCGAAAGGTTGAACACACCTTCCAGAAGGTCAACACGCCTTTCTTAAAAAATAGGATTCCAGTATGCTCGATCTTCTGGAAGGTTGAGGAAACCTTCCGGAAGGTCAACCTTCCAGAAGTTTTATGAAAACCTACCGGAAGGTTCTCACAAAACTTTAAATTTTTGAATTTTTTCCCTCAGTTCTTGGGCAATCTTTCCTCTTGTTCAAGGGTGTTCTATGGGATAAAATGATTATAAATTAATGTGTAAAGAACCACAGTTGTGTGGGTATAGTCCCGGATAAGGGGTTAGCTTCGACGTGATGTCAGGTGATACGATAATCACGGGTATTTTCGCTGGTTGATGAATTATCAACGGTTGATAAAGGACCCCGGTTTTAAGGGCGTCACAGAGAGAGAGAGATAGAGAGACTATGTAAGATGAATCACACATGCATACTTTGGGCCTAATCCTTTGAGCTAGTTATACGTTGAGAGATGCTGACATAGAACCTTCTGAGTCATGTCTAGTCGATAGGCCAAAGAACCTTTATTGAGTGTGTACTAGCCTATAAAATTAGAACGTGTACGCATTGCAAATGGACACTTGACAAAGCAAAAGGAGATCATTGGCTGACGTGGTAGGATTCCCTAGAATTGCAAGGGTTGTGGTACCGCAAGAGGTGCTCAACACCGCAAAAGGACGAGGGGGACCCTCCTTACATTGGAAGTGGCAAAACATACCTTTGTTCAAAAATGGTACCGTGAAAGTACAATGGCAACCTTGGTTCGATCTATCTAATCCACCTCCCCACTGGGGAGGTAAAGGCGTGTGGCTGGGACAGTGCGAATGGTAAATAATGAAATCCTTAGCAAATCCTCAAGTGGTATCCTTCGAGACCGTTTGAGAGAACCTATATAACCCATTGGATACACACTGGGGTAAAGTGAATCAATGGTAGACAGTTGCTCGATTGGCCCAAGAGACTAAGAGGAGGGGTCCCTACTTCGGGATTGGGGAATGTGGCTCTCGAGGGAGAACTGGCCAACCGATGCGCATGAGCATGATTGTCAACCTCGGTATCGGGTAGGGTCTCGAATGTTTAGTCTGTTTGAGCAAGCCTTCCAGTGCATGACTCACTGCCAATTGAGTTGTGCTTGATTGGGATCTGAAGAGACTCCTAAAATATATGGGGTTAATGATCCAAGTCAACGTATGGGATGATGGGACGTTATAGATGATCTCAGTACCCAATGCTACTAGTCACAAGCATTGCTAGGATCTTCACCAATAGCGCAATCTGACGATAAAGACACTTCACGGAAGTGGCCTTGGCAGAGCAAAACCCCATTGGTGACCCTTTAACGCCCTTACAACCGGCCACTGCAATTGACCCTTCAACGACCGTCGCATCTTTTGAGGTGCCATTGCGTCAAAACTGATAGCCATGACTAATGTTACCCTATAGAACCCCACAACGGTCCATGATAACATAGAGGCGGTGACTGGCCATTCCCAATGGCCACATTACCTCAAAAATGGCCCCACCAAGCCTTTCTACAATTATGCTTCTGACCACCCAAGTATGGGGCATACCACTCTTCCTCATAGTCCCATGCTCAGACCCCCATCATTTGTTCTCTCAACTATGACTATTACGGTTTTGCCAGCCGGTCTTGGGTGTTGTACCCTACAGATTCAGAATAGTCATGGCGTAGTACTTGTTTTGTTAGGTTGACCTAAGTCCAAGCCGTACTAGATAGATAGAAAGAGCCAATACCAACAACGTTGGACATAAGGTCTAAGTTCATTCCCACCTTTCAACAATCCATGTACCCCGGGATACTCACCTCCAAAGTTTGAGAAGTTTGACGGAAAGAACGGTAACCCCCAAGAACATATAACACGATATCTTGACAACCTGAGACATTATATGCTCCATGAACCCTTTCGAATGAGGGATTTTTCTATGTCCCTTGAGGATAGTGCATTTACTTGGTAGGCCAATCTTCCCACAAATCTGTGTGGCACTGGGATGAGTTGGTCTTGCAATTCTATGAGAAGTTCTTCCATGTTGAATAACAGATAATTGTGCCGTCTTTGACGAAGGTTGCCTGATTGAATGAGAGAACTCTAATGATGTACATTAACAAGTTCTGCGACAGGGCTATTGAATATCAAGAACATGTCATAGAAGAAGCCTTTATTCGAATGTGCATTAATGGAATGCATAATAAGTACAAGGCCTACCTAGTTAATAGTGACTTCAAAACCTTTACCAAGCTTTTTGAGTCTGCTCGGAGGCTTTTGGAGATGGTCTAGCCTTCGTCCAAGTAGTAGGTTTGAAGGACAGAAGAAGAGGAATGGTTGTCGAAGAAGGCTAAACGGGGAACAACGGCCAAAGAAGCACAACAAGTCCTCTAAGCCCGACGAGTTGCCCCCATACCCTTGTAGCATGAAAGAAGTCCTTCAAATCCTCATAGAATGGATCAGAAATGATGATGTGGAATTGCCAGTTGTGGCCAAGGAAACAACTTAACAGAAAAAGTCCAACCCAACTTTCTGCGAGTTCCATCGCCACACCAAACACAATTTGAAGGATTACTGGACTGTACGACGTTTATTAAAAAATTGCCTAAAGAGCAAAGAAATGGTGTTAGGGGTAACGTCCACGGTAGGCCCCTTATAGACCACAATGAAGACAATGAGGTACACATGGTCTCATTCTATG